ACTTTCAGGTGCGCTTGTGTATGACATAAAGACATGTGAAAATTTTTGCAAAATCGCTGGCACTGTTTCTATTTTAGAACGAGCGCGCAGTGGCGCATGCCTACAATGGAGTTGTTATTAAATTTTGGCTGTGTATTCAATTCACAGTAGGATTTTTCACTGCGTACTGCATGACTGTCATCGTCTGAAATCTTACGTTACACTGGCTATGCGTAATAGCACTTGTGTTAATGAAGAGGCTACTGGACAAGCTTATCTACAATGTTTCATCTGGTTATGGTACTGAAAAGAAATGTATACGATTTAATCGGCCGAAACATTTCTTTTCAGTCATCTAAACTTTAAATCCCAAATATTCTGCTTTTGCATTTTCATGCTCTGTAGTGTACTCATTTAGCATAGTGTACTATGCTAAATTAGTAATTATAGCTGCTTATAGCTGCTAGTATTGTTATTATTTTACCACTGTTATTACTTTTAGTATTATTTTGTCGTTACTATTATTATTGTTGTTAACAGTACCATTATTTATTAATATTTTTATTATTATTATTAACATTTTTATCCCTTATTTCTGTCTTTATTATACTAAAACTTAATCGGCCAGATCAAAAGTCATGCTTTCAAAAGCCACTTTTTTGCAGCAAGTGTTGTCTTTAAAGCAAATACCAGTAAAATTTTGAATTCCCAAGCGTTTATTAGGCATTGCGCCAAGTGTTAATAAAGATAACAAATGATAATACGGGTACTGCGAATTAATAAACGTCATTGTAGTAACACGATAAATATCAGGTTTTCGGTAAATTACCTGTTCTCCTTTATCGTTCAAATGTAAAAACGATAGACCTGAGCATTACCAAAACATGGCTTAAGAATATGTCACGGCAAAAAGAAATCTGCTACAACTTTTTCGAGGCTACAGTTATGCGTTGTATGAGCTGCTAGTGTGGTAAGCGACCAGTACCGAGAAGCAGTCAAGCAGCTCTAATATCTGGCAAGGACTTCTAGGATGACTGTGCTTGGCGCTCGATATAGGCTGCAGCTGAATATTACTGAACGCCTCCTTCGCATATCGGACAGTTAAAAGAATAAAATTTGGCTGGACAAAATTTACTAACAAGTAGCGGTTGAATATTATCATTCAGTGAACTAAATGTTAATATATTCGCTTAAATATATACATATATATATACATACATATATATATATATGTATTTTGCTGCGGCACATTTATATAATTATGCGTTTTTGAATATATGTAAATGCGAAAACACGTTCTGCGACGACCCCGGTGTCAGTTTGTCTTTCTGTCTGGGTATTTCAACTCGGCATTCAAGCAAGCTCCGGCACCAAAATTTTGCGAATAGGTTTCCTGGCCAAGTGCTACCCCAGGACCTCGATACTAACTCTCACGTACGTCTGGGCCCTGCGTATGAGCGTGTGAAATTTTTGGCGAGAAAATCGCTAACTCGGGAACCACAAAAGCTAGAAAGTTGAAATTCTAAGGTTGTGTTCCTCATCTATATAGAACTCAAAGATTTCATATTCAGCCCGAGATGTGCGTGGTTCCCACGTACGGCACCGTGAGGGATCCTGGCGCGGAAATCGCTAAGTTGGGATCCAGGAGAGCTGGGAGGCTGAAATTTTAAGGGGATGTTCCCAGCCCATCTGCATCTTAAATTTATCGGATTCAGCTCCCGGGCATGAGTGGTTCTCACGTGCGGTCCCTGAAAATTTCTGGTGGGAAAATGGCTAACTCCGGGACCAGGAAAGCTGGGAGGCTGAAATTTTTAGGGAATGTTCCTTGTCCAAGTCCAGCGTAGACAATCAACTTTACGAAATTCGAGGACCAGTATGTTACACATTTCTAGTTGCTAGGTTTCCGAGCAATCACATTACAGCACGAAACACTGCAAAACGCATGATCGCACGGGCCTGCCCGCTGCGTATCGCCAATGATTTTCACTTGTGCAACAATTCTAGTTGTTTCAGTCGAAAATGTACCTTCATTTCAGCTTGGGAAACAGAGGTCAGCGGCTGAAGACCTAAAATTTGAGGAACATAAGTCATCCCTAGCCATTCGTTTCCCTTACTTCAATCACCCTAAAATTTGCATGTTCTAAATCAGTCAAATCTCATTCCCGCAGAAGGAAACCTTTGCAACGAACAACAAGTGATTTTGCATGCCACAACGGATACGCCCTGGTTTGGTAAGGATATAACTCTGTCAGTAGCATTCTGGTCCTGATCAACCTATGTACGCAAACAGATACACAGTAATGCATGCGTGTGTTAGGTGCTCACCAATATGTATCCATGCAGAATTGCATGAGCAAAAGAGGGCCGCCATGTGCTTCGCTTACTCTTAGGAGGCGCCAAATTTTATTAGCCTGAAATAGGCAAAAAACAACTGGTACGGGAATACATTTTTATAATAAGCTGCTACGAGCCTTCATGATGGATAAATGTGATAATGCAAGAGTTTTTCTTGGTCGTCCTTTAACAAATGCAGAGCATGAAAAGCATAGAAATTCATGTCTTTCTCCGATCAAAAACTATAATCTGACGCAATAATTTCAACTCACATTTGCAAATGAGGTCATAGGCAAGTAAGCAGTCATTTTTAAAGTTATGTATTAGTAAAATTAAATGAAAGCAGCGTAAAATTAAGCAGCCACACAAATTTACTTTCAAGATAAGCAATTTTTTGAACCATGCTCCGTTGCACAAAAGCAGACTGTCTGAAAATTCAATTTTCTGCTTCCTTCTATTTTGTTCTGGAAGTTATTTTTTTTGAGCTGAACTTAAATTCAAAATGAAGAGCACATCGAATCTAAAAAGTTGATTTTAAGCAATCGGACGCGCACAACATGAGAACCTGAAACTTTGGAAATGCAGCTTCATAAATTTGCTCGCTGTCAAACCATGGGACTATCTCAAGGTTAGATCCCGAAGTTGGAGTTCATAAAGTGACCTGAAAACCGATTTCAATTTTGTTGCCTTGTCGGTATGCAGGGACACGTTTCTAAAAATTCGATTTTCCAGTTTTTGTATCATTTGAGCAGAATTATTCTGGCAAGGAGGCAGAAGTGTCTTGTAAAAATATACTGATGGTGGTATGCGAAATAAGCACTGGAACCGGGAACAATCGGTAGTAACGCAATGCAGCACGCGATAAACCTGCTAAAACCGTACGTCGCGTGCTAGCATTGTAAATTATGAACACGTTTTATCCATCACCTAAACAGCAGAGCTTGAAGCAAACGTGCTTAAAAGGAGTCGAGAATCAAAATAATTTGCTGATGCATGGCAATTTGCGGTAGGTAGTCTAGACAAAGCCGCGAGCAAAATGACTGAGGCTGATGAGGGACTGCTGCTAGCTATTTGAGGACCTTGCATTGGGAAAGCGCCCTGTACCAACCGCACAATATCTCCGCAAGCCTCTACTGGCCGCCTGTGAAAAACTTCCGGTGGAAAGCGATTTCATGAGAAGCCATTTATGTCGGAGATAATGTGTTCGGCGTTATCTCAGTGAGAGAATTCACAAACGAAAACCCGGACGTTTTCATACATTCCAAACTCTTTATTCACTTATTCTTTTACACACATAGATACGATCTCCTCACAATAAATTTTTGCAAAAATTTTTGAAAAAAACATGGCAAATTTAACTAAAAAGTGCAAGAAATAGCAATTTAGTGCTCTATATTTAGCAATAAAATTGCAGTACTTGGCCGACAAGGCTCGAAAGTTAACTGCTAATATACGCTTAAAAGCCATTAAAATAAAACTCAGTAATGTTTTGATTAATGAGCAGGGAAATAAAAAAATGGCAAAATATTGAGAAACACAAAACACGGTGTGCGCCTCATTTTTTAGACGACTGGCACGCAAATACACACCGCAGTGCATTGCTGCATGTGCATACACACTGCGCATTATCCCATCTCATCGCCTTTAGCGTGAGAAGTGAAATAGCGCTATGGATTACCATTTCTGACTGGTGCTTTCATCCTTCGGAAAAACATCGACCTTAAAAAAATTCTCGTCTCAGAAAAATCACTTATTTCTGCGAGGGGAAGGGAAACGACTGCCCAGACTGCCTGTAAAGAAAGAGTGTGTAATATGCAGCAAATACGGTAAAAGCTAAAAAAGGCAACGGAGGCACAGATATAACTGGTATTCGGCAGTTTTGAAAGCTCCTATTGCATTAAATGGATCGTTTGTGCCTGTGCTTGATAATGATACAAATGAGTGCTTCTAGCATATCTAACACTTGGAACGGTCGTTCTAGAAGAGCGTTTAAGGAATCGTTTACGAGCGAGCTAAAGGCTGTGTACTTGGCAAAGGAGATGTGGTCCACTTAGCATTTCTGTACGATTGGAAAAACGAATATCGAGAAACACTTGCTGTGGTCACCAGTTCATCGGGCTAACTGGTGATGCATGTCCGATCGCGGCAATCATGCGCGGAAAATGGAAAGGAAGTGAATCATGATAAGATAGCTGCTTAATGAGCAAATTTGGGGCAAAATTTTAAGTAAAAATTTTTGCTAACTTGGCAGTAACAATAGCCAACTACATTTTCGCAGCAAGGGGTTTCAAAGCTGCTGGCAAATCATCGTCATGAAAGATTATGACAGCACTGCCGCTCTTACAGTTTCTAACTCATCAGTTCGATTTTTGTTCAAAAAAAAAGTCTTCCCACATTGACTTGAACACAGTGGTGGTGAAATTTTTGCGTACTACAGGAAATCCGTTTTGTGCGATTTAAACTGTAGCAATGACTCACCCCTTCTTGGTGATTGCACAGCTATGCTCAGAAAAGAATTGCTGTCCCGGCTTTACGAATTCCTTTAGTGGCAAATTCTGCCTTGCAAACGACCCGTTCTAATCTCACGACAAAGTGTGACAAAATATTTTAGTTTCTTCCAGACTATGGACATTTTGAAGCTTACAACACGCGCTGTGAATGAAATTTTATTTCAAAAAACAGCAACACTATTGAGACAGGAAATGGCTAAAATGTCTCGGCTGAGTCCCGTAGTATGTTGCAGGTGCAGTATACACACAACTACCGTTCGGGATCGTTCCTGGCCAGTATGGTTGCATCAGATGTGCAGACCGCTTATCCGGACTTGTCGGCTGAATTAAAGGTGAATATGGCACACCAGCGGGACGCATTTTTGGTACGCTGTGGTGATAGTGTTGAAACAGAAACTGATGCGGTGGGCAGCTGGTCAGAGAGGCTGAAATTGATTGTTTCAGTGCTTACACGAAATTCAAAAACTCTTCCTTTGATTTTTGATAAATGTAACGTTTTTTAACAGCATCTGCAACAACACATGGACGTGAAATCATGATTACTGAAGAAGGTTGAGGAGCGAGCGCTGGCTGTAGCGGAAAGAACAGTAAAGCGGAACATACTTGATGTACCTCTTCGTGACCGTATAAACTATTAGACTCTCTTTCAGATCGGTGCGTGCAGGACAATGCTGCAGCTAAGCGAGAAAGTAAAGTGCGATGAGAAGGGCATGGAGCTCACTTTGCTGACAAGGAGTAGATATAGCGCATTTGCAAGTCGCAACTTCGAGAAAGTAAAACACAATCAGGCGACCTCTGAAGGAGTCATGTATATACAACAAACAGGCGATAGATACTGAGTGTAGGAACGCAGCCTTTGATTAAAGGGCCTGGCTTAGTTGCGCCCGACAGGTGCGAGCAACCCAATAACATCGTTAACCGTAAATTTTCAAAGTGCTTTAAGGAATGCTAGTCCCTGAAATGTTCAGCTCCTTCAGATTTGTTATTGGATATTCGGAAATCAGACTTGATTTCTTCCGCTTTCTAAAGCAGGTTAGATTCTTTTCCTCTTTCTAAAACACAAGATGCTGAAGATTTTCCTTCTTTTCTTAAGTAAATTTCTTTTTTCATCTGCCCTGCACAGATAAAAATAAAAAGAGAAACACTACATCGATAATGTTGCACTGGAGCAGAAATGGTTGGCACGAGCTCTCCGTTGACATTGCCTTGACAAGCTTGCGCCAGACCGTTGAAGTCAAATCTGTACACATAGCGCTTTCCATGCACCTTAATTTTTCCAATCATTACTATTTCAGGAGGCAGAACGAACCCTGCACTGCCAACACTCGGGATTACCAGCAAGCTGACCAACAAGATCACTAACAGTTTGACCGTCAAGCGGTGCAGCATCGGTCATACCAATTGAAAAATTTTCCAGCTGCGTAGCTGCGTACAGTTTATTCATCATGTCTGTGAAATGTTTGCTGTGCTCAGAGCGGGAACCACAACCAAAATTTTGGTATGGCTAAACCCGTGCAAAAAGCACTAACCCTCATATAATTCTGATTCATGCTGCATCAATCGCACAGATTTGTTATCTTGTTTTAAAAGGTGCTGCTTTTTGTGCACGGTATTGAACGTTACTACGAGTTTTTTTAATTATGGACTAGTTCCCTCAGTACTAACACAGTTCATTTTCAGGAAGTAGGTATGTGGACCTTGCGAAGGCTCTTCAGTGGTATCAGCTAAAAACGAGTAAAGTGGTTCATGGTTTAACTTTCTTTCGACAATAACAACAACAATATCATTCACCAAAATTTAGGTCAAGTTCGCGCGCATTGTTCCTAATTTCGCAACTTTTTTTGAAAGCCACCAAATTGAGCACTTCCGGAAGAACTATTTACCTTTTAGCTTGGGTGCGTTACTTAGAAACTTTTAAAATCACTGCACACGCAGTCCGTAGTGTTGCTAATTAATTAATCGACCGAATCAGGCGCGTTTGCCGAAAATCTAACCTTAGTCATAATATTTTTGTCATAGTAATATCGCAAAGCTCGACTGAGTTTGTCGTAATTCATATTAGGCTTGCTGAAAAGTTAAGTTAATTTGGGCAACTTTTGTTTCAACAAAGTTCAATTATTTTTCAAGTAAGCCTGCCAAATTTGTCACACAGAAATGCTTTTTAAAAGCAGTGTTCGGAACATGATGTGTTGACATTTACAGGGTGATTTTGTATAGTATATGAGTGACTTTATTCCTGTAGACTTATTTTACTTTTTTTCCTTTCAGTTTGCTCAAAAAACTTAAAAAACGATAGAATTTCAGAGTAAAAAAATAGTAGACAAGAAGCCGGAATTTTTCCCTACAAAACGTATTCGATGCATAGATTTAAATTTTACTTTGCCGGTCACAGCGCAGTAAAATCACAATTCGTTTCATTTCGTAATTAGTTTAAAACATTGCATCATGGGAAGACTGTTCAATTTTGCACATTTCCAACAATAAACCTTTTTCGTTCGCCCCATTTCCTGGCCACTTCATCCGGATCCAGCAATTTGAATTCACCATTTTGGCCTTCCCAAGTGATGCAGTGCGCGTTGCTGTGGGTATCGGAAAGCAGTTCCAAGAGGAACTGCCACAACTGTATTTGTCCACTCCCTAAAAACGAGTACTGAGATTTTTCGAACTACTGAATGGAAATAAAAAATAATTTGATTACTACTACGACAGATGATTACTTGAGGTTTAGCCAATAATTTCAAACTTTAGGTCGGCGTTTTGGTAATTCTTGATAATGTGATTGCCTTTCTCAAGCAAGGTGCCGATGAAAAATTGAGCAAGGTTAGCTGGAAACCAAAACAAAATTTGGTTATTACTGAAGCCAATTCATATTATAAGATCATGCTTCCGAAAATGACCGATTAAGTTCCACTCAGTGTCCCATTAATACACAGAAGCAGTGGATACAAAACAAGTTCGGCCATTCCTACGTCAAAGTACAGAGAAGATGTTTTGTCGGTTATAAATTTAACAGCAGAATGCAGGTTTTCGCGTTCAAATTTTATATGAACTTTTAGCGTTGCACAAAACAGTAACAACAAAAGGATTAAAATTAAACCATAAAGAGCCAGATCCAAATGCGGAAAATCAGTTTCAACTAAATAAATCAGCTCCCGCTTCAAGTATTCGTGTTGCCGAATTGAACCAAAATATGAGTTGCATATGAGTGCATTAAATTTTGCAAAGAATTCTGGCACTTTGGCGCAGTATCCTTTTGGAGTTCAAGTAAGCAAGAAATACACGCACTTAATTGATTAGAATGTATCAGCTAATTAGACTCTGTTTTTCGTTTTCTATTTAAACTCAACTGTACTTTCCCCATGCAATGGCTGTGATAATCAAAGCCCGTAAGAACTGATGAATCCTGCGTTGTCTGGACTAGATCACCCAGCGAGCTGCTAGTACAGTAGAGAAGGAAAATGCCAAAGTACTGATTCATCTGTTCGATGATTTTCATGTTATAATTTCGCCGTGTTGAATGTTATCCTAAGATTTTGGTTGGGGCACTGGAAGCTCTAACGGTTAAAATGAAGATCGCAGCTTACGGAATCCCGGAAATCATGCTCCAAAAGTCATCACTTCCCCAATTTCATAGCTTTGGAGCTGGATTTCTTGACACAATTTGAACATAAACAATGCGCTGGTGTTCTCTGTTTTGCCATGTGCGTATTTCATGTGTGTTTCATGTATCTGCATATTGCATGTATGTTTTACAAAATTATATATGGTGTTGTTATAGTGCACTTTTTATCAATACAGAAAGACATAAAGTTACTGTGGAACTGCAGTACTGAAATAAGCGTAAAAGTAATATCCGCCGTTTGTCAGCAGGAATGCGGCATTTTTCGATCTATAGGATCTTACTTTCTAAGAAGGTTACATCAGTATCCTGCATACCACTCAAGCAACAAAAAGTCGGTGCTTATGTGGTTGCAAAAAGACACACAAGCATTCCTATGCTCCACTGCTTTCGCCGCGGCGGCGAGCGTTCGCTTTTCTTTCTACCTCAGTGACCAGGCTCTTCGTCCGCCAGGGTCTACGATTACGTGAAAAAAATTTGTCCCAACCGTTCGAAAGCAAGCAACGTGAAACATGTAACACGGAAGCAGACGCAAATGCGTCATGAGTGCTCAGATTACAAAATTACTTCTTGTCTCTGATGGCGAATAAGCAAATCCTAGTTATCTGGCTACCACCAAAATCTATCCGCCCATTATTCAGCCGCTTTCTGCAGATCACGAAAAAGCCGTAAACATGGAGGGGAAATTTTTGCCAGATAAATAAATTTACAGGACTTTGATTGAATTTACTGAATAAGTTCCCTCTAGTTGCATTTATAGATGGCTTTCGTTAACGGTAGAAGCCGAAGTCAGTAGATGATGAGGTCAATAATCATCCGAAATAAATGTGTCGTTGCTGCTACAGCTGCTAATGCATGTGTTATTATTATTTAGGCTTAAACGCTGCTGCCTTTCATAGAACGCCTTTGGTTAAGTGGGGGTGCTGACAAGCTACGTAACGCTTCCCTCTTCCTGTGACTCCTTTCCTTTTCGTTCTCTCTCTGTTCCCATTATAAGTCCTCCTGCGGGCTACCTTTATTGCAGCCGGCTCCCTTGATGGTCTAAGCGTGATTCAGCTTGATTCCATTTCGATTAGTTCACCATGCTTTCGATTTATATTTGCCAGAATTTGCATCTAAATTGATGCAAACTTGTTCAGAGCACATAAAACACACAAATTAATCTAAACATTAGTTTAACTCCGCTGAAGGTATTTGACTCAGCCCTTTACATATTTCGATAAAACTTAAGCAAACATTGTATATTCTTCCAGTCCCAGCAAGCTACTTGGTTTTGTATAAATCGAAAAAAGAAGCCCTGCCAGCTCTGGAATCATCTAATGCTACCAGCTTAGTGCTTCTGGCTCTTTCTTTTTTATTGCTTACTCTTCGTATAAAGTGTGATAACTTGCATAATTTAGTGAGATTTTTTTTAGCTGTATTGGCATACGGTAGTCTAAAGAACCCATTTGTAATCCATAAAGATATTTTTGTTCAAGAAAGTTTGGAAAGTCAAGATATCACGAATATTGATATTTTTGATTGGAAAGGGCAGATGAAAGCAAATACAAATCAGCCAGCGAGAAAAAGCATTTTTGCCCGCATTTTCAGTGTAATCATCAATTCGCCGGCTGGCATGGATGCACCTCCTCGCAACGGCAGCAGATGCTGCAGCCCCTACTGGACGGATGATTTGACTACGGTAGCTATGAGATGTATCATTGTGCTTTTTATCTGCGGAAAAATTGTTTCGGCTTTCGGAATAAATTACATCGAAAAGATGGCAGAACTGGACTGAAATTAAAATTTGGCTACCTGAACGTAAAAGGCATCAGAGAGTGCGCCATCTGCAGTGAGCCGTTGCGGGCACAACATCAAATGGCTGCTCCATGATTCACATTCATCCTGATCTTGCTATTTATCTGTCCCTCTTTCGCCCACAGCCGCCTGTCTATTATAGCATTATCTAAGTTATGCAGCTCGCATAATGGAAATTATATTACTACCCCATCAAATGCATGATCCAACGATGATCGCACTCCTTCATCCGCTTAACTCCGTCTCCCCTTCAGTTCTCCTGTTTGTCGTGTCAGCCACTGCTATTTCTGACTGGACCATTTGGTTGTTTGTTTAAGCGTCAAAACTCGCAATTATTAATCTGGCGGCTTCGTTTTGTTGTCATAAAATTAACATGGCGCAATAACTGACGTTAGTGCGCAAGAAAGAAAAACCTAGAAAAGTGATATTCAAAAGTGAAAAGTCAGTACGTAATCCTGAACTGCATGTTAAAGACAAAAGCTCAAGCTCTGTAGATACAATTCTTTTGCAGAACTGGACATCATGTGCGAACTCGAGAGACAGAAGGAATGGAAAATTAATTTGCTTTGTGTGTAACTGAAGAAACAGCTGATGGACGTCGAGTGCTAGTGTGAAAATAAGTGCCACTCAGGCGTTCTCCGAATAGGTGGCGCAGACACGCAGGAAAGGCGGACTGCTTTTGCAGAAAGGAGAAACGCAAAAATATGGCATGAAAAGCAAGAAAATGAGAGGAAAAATTAGCAAATGTCCACTAAAAATTCAGCCAAAGGTACAAATAATTTGCAGATGGAGCAAATTTTGATTAAAAACGGAGTGATTTTGGGATGCCACTATGCTAAAAGACTAAAGAAAACAAAAATTTTATCAAGGGAGAGTGAAGCATAGTAGGTGCAAAATGCAGCAGAGGTGCACAAAATCTGGCTTGGAGGGGCACGAAAAAAATCGGCTCAGTGAAGGCAAAATTTAGTCAAGAAAGCGCAAAAACTGGATGGAAACATTGAAAGGCAGTAACTAGTTCAAATCTCAGAAAACGCATTACTGAAGCAATCAAGATGTAAAAGTAGAGATTAAGTCAAAGTTCGAGTGCTTATTCGATATTGGCTGCTCCACTGCACCAGCACACATGCTCTCTGTTACAGTACCGTATTCCGAGCACAGCTGTTCTTTGTCTAACGCTATGTTCAGTAACCCAATGTTGTATGGGCCGTGCATCAGCACTGTGTATCCACTACAGTGCACCAATGTGCAGCTCTGCCAAGTCCTTCGTTTCTCAGCTGGTACCACATAGACACAAAACTCAGGACGAGGGGTCAGACATTGCTGCGTCCAAAGTGTAAAAACGCCCCAGTAAAAAACATTAGCCACATCGAATTCCAGAATATAACCCTCCGAGAGGTTTTTGTAAATAATGCATTGTACCGATTATCCCAATTCATTTGGTTGTTTAGAAATATGTAACAGATCCGTATAAAGTAGGCTTTTCTGAAGAGTGTGGTCCGGGCTATGGAATCTTGTTAAGGTGTTTACAAGATTCCACAACTAGGACTCAAAAGACTCAGCCATACACTTTTTATAAACGTCTACCTCGTGCAATTTGGGTAATTCTGGTAAGTCGCTGCTCGGCGTAAAGTGTGAGATACTGGGAAAATTCACGACTCGCAACTGTCGGTTGCTCAGTAATTATCTTTTAGTGTGTTTAGGCTTTTAACCAGCGAAATTTCAGTTCCGTGAAAAGTTAAAGCAACAGGGGTCAATTTTAAGCCAAATTTAAAATAATACGCAGTGCAAGCCACAATGTAAATGAAGAGGGTGGAAGGCGCAACTTGAAATTCAAATTTCTCCAACGGCATTAGACGACAAACTGAGCCCGGAAAGCTGCAGTTTATAACTTTTGCATCAGTTAGATCAAAGGTTTGGTAAAAACCACCTTCAAATGGTTTTTACCTCGCAGAGAACAAAAATTTAAGAGCTGCAATTCTTTCAGCTTCCGCAGTTGGAAGTTGTGTCGACTGAAAAACATTTAACGTGCACCGACAAGACCGCACTCCAGGTTAAAATATGCGAAAGGCAGTACAGAGATCTCAGCGTTTCTAATGGTTTTCATCATCTTTGAGAAACCACACATCCGCAGCAAAAAAAAAAACACATGCCTGGAGGGATGAAATTATACTGCAAGTCGCCGAGAACCGATGCCGGCGTAGTCAAGTGACTTCGGGATCCTTCCTCACTTTGCTCTGGAATTAATTCGTGTTCAACACGCAGTGGAAATGAGGGATCCCTTTCTTCTTACTTCGAGTAAGGAGTTACGAAATTTAAGGTTTGCAAAGAGTGAGAATATTTCCGAAGGAAGCAGTTAGTCTTTGTATGCATTTCTTGATAAGAATAAGTAAGCAGCTGTCTGCCCCAAGGTTGTCGCCGCGTGCATCCACTTATTATGCGTTTTGTGCTGTGTAACAGCAGTACAAAACGCATATTGTTACGGGGTTGTCTGT